TTACTGCTGCTTTTGATACAGTTGCGGGGCCTTTTTTACAAGTTGAGTCACTTGAGAATATCTACTAGAGTGGTGAATTTGTTAAAAAGTATTTTTGAGAATACAAAATCGGCAGTCTGGTCAAGAGAAGGTCTGAATGGTTTGACTGTAATGTAGAAATCCAAAATTATTTTATACAGAAAAGGAGGTGGTGTGATCAGGAAATCTTGGAAACTGAATGATCAAGTAATAAACGCAATGAATGAATGAATAACTATAATGCCATAGCAGAACTAGATATTCCATCGCATCTAATAATATTGGTAAAGGCAACTCTTTCGAAAGTTGAGTGCAAAGTCAAGGTACAAAACAGAGTATCAAGGTCTTTTCAAACACATACTGGATTACGCCAGGGAGACAGTCTATCGTGCCTATTGTTTAACATTCCACTAGAAAGAGCCATAGAGAAAACGGGCGTAATAACTAGATATACGATCATTAATAGAAGTATACAGATATTGTCCTACGCAGATGACATTGACATAGTAACACGGACAAAAAGAGACCTGATACAGGCTTTTGAAACATTAGAAAAAGCGGCGAAGACAATGAGACTGCAGGTCAACGTATCCAAAACAAAATACATAAAGGTCACGAACAGCACACAAATAGCGGCACCACAAGATTTGGTGACAGAAGCACACACATTCGAAGGGGTCTCGGAGTTTATATATCTTGGAAAACAGCTGAATAATAGCAACCTAGTAAGCGTAGAAATTAAGAGAAGAATATACCTGGCGAACAGAGCTTACTTTGGACTAAAGCAGTTCTTAACATCACACATAATTAGCAGAAAAACCAAGATACTAATATATGAAACTCTTATTAAACCTGTCCTGACATACGCGTCAGAGACATGGACTGTGGTAAAAAGCGACGAAGAACTGTTAGGCCGCTTTGAAAGAAGAATACTTAGGCACATATACGGAGGAGTACAAGAAAGCGGGATATGGCGCAGGCGCTACAATTTTGAGTTGTATCAATGCTATGACAGATGCAACATCGTCCGGTCTATTAAAATTAATAGGCCAAGGTGGCTGGGACACCTTGAAAGAATGGACACTAGAGAGGCAGGCCAAGATCTAGATTTAAAACTCAAGTTGAAGATAACTTGAGGAATCTAGATGTCAAAAAGTGAAAAGCCAGGGCGAAAGACCTATCCAGGGTTGTAGAGCCTAAGATGATTATGATGAATAACTAAAATTGTTTGGGAATGATAGTAATACCCAAATTGTTGTTTAAAGCTCATCTAAAAAAGGCGACAGGGTTTGGAAGAAGTGGAGATTTTATATATAAAAAAAAAATATTTTCTTGTCTAAGGTATTGTAATAACTTTATCTTAGATTTGGAGACAGTTATTGCTAGAAACATATAAACATCAAAGTAGCTCAGCTTTCTGCATGATCTTATATAAATTTTCATTTAGACCCAGCTTTTTTATATTTTCTAGGAGGTTCTTCGAAATGACTTCAGTAGTAGAAAGAATAATTTGTACTGTCTGGGTATTTTCCATTCTCCATTGTCTCCTTATTTGTATTTCCAGATCTCTGTACTTGGCGATCTTTTCGTTGTACTTAACACGCAAGTTATTGTTGTTAGGTAACGCCACATCGATTAGTGTTGTTTGTCTCGTTAGTTTATTAACTATCACGAGATCTGGTCTATTATGTGCTACAGTTTGGTCTGTAAGCACAGTACTAAGTCATGCCGTTCCTTACATTCAGTTCTAGCAAATGTCTGGCAGCCCCGGTAAGATGTTGGATGGTTTCTTGGGCTTGACATCCATATCGGCATTTGTCGTTTTGGACTGAGGGCCTTTGAAAATATATTTTAGGTAATTTTTGGTTGGTATAACCTAATTCTGAATGGCAAGTAATGAACCTTCTGTTTCACGGAACATCTTTCCTGTTGTCAACCAATAGTGCGACGCTATATTGTCGATATAGTCTTGGCTGACTTCATTCGGATGTCATCCGTGCAAAGGTTTACCCATCCAGATGCGCATTTCTTGTTCTCTCCGTTTGATTGGTGTTGTGCCATCTACTGCACAAATAGCGCGATGGAGAGTAGATGTCTACGCCTGTACCTGAAAATAAGTTCTTAAATTAGTAATCTGTTTTTCTAATTTTTCGCTTATATCCATAAGTCCTCGTCCTCCTTAATACCGCGGTTATTGTCGCTCTTTCTACTGCACTTCAAAGATAATGTTTTTGTGCCTTTGTGAGTTGTGTTCGTACTTTTTGCTGAAGAGCTTCTATATTCGTTTTAGTCTACTTATTAATCCCAAATGAGTAGCTAAGCGCGGAAAATGCCTAGGTTTTTAATGCCTTAAACTTATTTTTACTATTAAGATGTGAGCGGAGTAGCTTTTTTATCCTTCGTGTGAACTCTGATGTTAATTCGATTTTCATTTAGTTATGGTCAAGTTTACGCGCTTGCTTTACTCCTAGATATTTATACATGTAATTTTCACCCATAGCCTCGATGTTTTGGCCATTTTGTAACGATAATATTTTGCCTACCACAGGGGGCATTAATACGGGAGATAGAAAATTGGGGGAAGAAACTATTGGGGGTGGAGATAAGGCAAGCAAAATAATCGCTACTGATGCGAACGGCACTCAGGGTTTCGTAGGAGAGCTGGGGTCGTGGATAAGTAAAAGATAAGGGCATTGGAATGGGGCAACTACAAAAAAATGAAATAAAGGGCTCTTGGGATAAACAAAATAAAAATAAACAAGAAACACCTCAAGGAATTTAATATAGGGCGCCACTTGAGGTGCCTAATTATGCCTATTACAACCACTAGTTGTAACTAGGGAAATAATTAGAAAACAAAATCAAAACATAAAAAACATATCTTTTTCAAATAAACTCAAAAAGGGTTAGCTCAAAAAAATAAATAAAAAGTTAAGACAACAAAATTTAACATTTATTTATGTGTCACCACAAACAGTTACATGGAGAAATACAAAATTCAAAAACTTACATGTGTCATCCATTAACAAACTCCATTGCTACAAAACTTACAAAATTGCATGGAGGTTAACCTTTTAAAAAAAAAACAAAACAAATCAACATCAAAAATACTAAAACGAGCTGTCATAAATTAACATTAAATTTAAAAAAAAACTAAACACAAATTGACAGCTTTACTCAAAACCTAAAATTTACAATTTTAAATGTCAACGAAAGCAATTATTATTTTATAAAAAAATGTCTGTCTTTAGTTTAAAATTTGAACAAAATGTTACCTTAATTCACATGATCACACTTAAGTTTCTGAAACCATAACTGGAACTGAGGGCTCCACTCTCTCTGCATCACGAAAACCTCCATCTCCAAACTGCCAAAAGCCTTGGATAGAAACAGGAACAAAAAAAAACAAACGAGGATGTCCTCCAATCCTCACTCAAAACATTAATAATTGAAGCATTTACTGCCACAAAACCAATAACAAACTGCTACATATTCTTCATAATAAAAGACGAAAACAGAACACTTTACAAATTCGACGTGAATTTGGACATAACGTTGAACCGCTATTGAAAGCTGCTACAACGAGAGTGAAGAAATTCTATTAAAATTGAACGCATACATACAAACGCTGACATAACAAGACACCACGAAACGACGTACATATCCTTTTGCGACGCATTAACTTGAAAAGAAATTGCCGAAGTAAAATAAATAAACAACTCTAAAATGGTTTATTTCAACTTGGCCGACCTAAGAAAGAAATGAAAAGATATTTGGGTTTAAATACGTACGAAATATTTTTAGATCTATCAAAAATATATAAGGTGATTTTAATATTTCGTATACGAGGGGACTTCAATATACTTCAAAGAATCAATGAAATTGAAAATGCCACAATTTTGCATATCAAATCTTCCGGGCTGAACCTCTCCCTTGACTATATTTAGTATACGACATTTGTCTAACCCAAAGTGCATACTGATATCATTTGAAAAAGTTTCTACAGTTTTTAGCATTTGATCATAGAAGTGATTTCGAGTGAAAGCCGTTAGTTTCAAATCATCCATTTACATATACAACAGATGATTAAGCTTCGCCACTACAGTGTTGTTGTTTTTGATGCTTAAACCTGAGTCAGTGGAGTTTAATAGCTGGGATAGTGGGTTCATTGCTAGACAGAACCACAAGGAACTCAGCGAGTCTCCTTGGAATAGGCAGTTAGGATATTTCCAGTTATGAAGCTCTTTGATGATATTAGAGAGACTATCTTGTTATTATTACTGGTATTATTATTATTATATAAACAGCTTTCACTCCCTCTAAGGGACTAATTTATTTATTGTAAATGCAAGCTATAACTTAGTGTTATACATTGTTATTATTGTTTATTCTAGTGCGAAGTCTACTCAGTAGGATATACACATTAAGTTTATTACTATAACATTGATATAAATATTTATTTCATTTATTTTTTATTTATTTTAATGAACTTGTTAGATACAATAAGCCTAGTGTAATTTTTTGTATATTAGAGAATAATATTTGTTTGGCAACCCTCCGATGGCATGTGCCAAAGAAAACAAATGTCGCTGAAAGGGAATATTATGTTGTATTTTTAATTTTTAATCAGAAATAAAAAGATATTATTAATTGATTGATTGATTGATATCTCTCTTCAATATATTCTGTATTTTTTGCACTAAGATCAAGTGCATTATGGATTTCAGTTACTTTTTAAATGTTACCGATTTATACTTTGTAGTATATTTTTATTAGACATTTCTCATTGTTGTTTATGATCTCCAGAGTTTTCTATCACTTCGTCATTTTGCGTCAATTTGCACCTCAGGTCCCCAATTATAGTTACTTTGTGTAAATCAAATAAAAAACAAATATTTTAGCTAAAAAGAGTATATTTGCTTTCAACAGTCAAAACAAAAGCAAAATATAAAGAAAAACAGTCATAATTCACTGTATTATGACTTTTACCAATATAAGACAGTTGTAATGGAACGTGGACTTAAATCTAAATTAATGTTGTTCTTCTTGCAGTCAATAATCTTTCTCTCGACTTGTTTTTCACTCCTAAAACAAAAAAAAATGGTTTAAAGATAAAATTGTTAGGTTTTCTCTAATTCTCTAAGATCGATTAAAAAGTAAGGTTTCTGATTCTTCTAAATAGAAGACTTTATTTTTATATATATTTTTTGTACAATTCATGTCTAGGTGAAAGACCTGGCGTATAATGTAGGCTGTACGGTAAAGAAATGTGTCACAGGCTAAATGCTAGAACTACAAATGCTAAAAAATAATAAAACCGGGCAAAAATCTTTTAGAAAGACCTACGAAAATTAAAAATTTTAATTTAGGTTATATTTGAAGAGTCATTTTAAAGAAAATTTTGTATATCCTTGGATAGTCGTTAGACAATTAGTAAAGAAATAATTACAGTTTTTATTTATAAATGAGTAAGATGTTCTATTCTGCCCAGCTAACCAAAAGTGCTGTAAGTAAAAATAGTAGGATTTTGAGAAAACTCGACATAAATTTTAGAATGATGCTGTAATTTTGAATATGACAATATTTTAGTTGTTAATTGTTTATTCGTTAAGTACATTTATGTTTGTAACATGTTTGTAACATAAATGAAAATTTTTATTCTATAATTCTAATTTTTACTGCAAAAAAGTTGAAAATATAAAATGGTGTCGTCTATACGGCACTTTTCCTTAGTAATGTAACTGGGTACATTTACCTTATGTACTGCTTTAGATTTTTAGTAGTTTGTTATAAGAACCCAACATTTAGATATTTTATAATCAGTTATCAGAAAATCAACACTAGCAGCTGAAACACCCAAATCTTCTTCCAAGTTTATATTATCATTGTTTGGTTGGACCACATTTGTAAATATATTTTTAAATAGTACTTCAGGTACATCTATAACTTATAGGTTAGTATGTGATTCTAAATAAACAGATTTATCAACATCAAATTCTACCAGTGTACGTGATATCAGTGTATTTTCACTAAGGTCATAAACAACTAATATATTATGGTTGTCTGCTACCTGTTGAGTTATATTGTCAGGTAATCTCACATCTCCAAGATCATCTAACAACGTTATAGTGCTAGCTAGATGGTTGAGGTTCTTCATTAGCTTCTAATAAATCACTGGAAGAACATTTTGTAGGTAAAATTAGCTCTGATTTCTCATCTTGTACAACTGTTATGTCAGTCTTGGTGCTTTTTAGAGCTAAGTTTACAATAAGTTGAGAACGAGTTGAGACTGCATTAAACTTTGAAGCACTAATGTTCCAAACAACAATTAACTAATATGTAATTTATATACTTTCTGAACCACTTCAACAACACAAATATTGGCTTATTATAACCTGAACTGAACACAGCAAATTTTTAGCAAACTCATATGTTACAAACATAACCTCACAATTTACGGTCAACATAAATACAATGCAGTAAGTACATCAGCTGTTTAAATAACCACTAAGAAAGATTGCAGTAAGTACAGTGTACTAAGTATAAATGCAGTAAGTACAAAGGAGTTACTGCATTCTTGGTTAGTCTATTGTATTTACGGCAGTCTTGCTTATTATTTTAAAACTTTTGATACACTTACTGCAAAAAATTATTTTGTATCTCGATTACTGTTGGAGATACGGCAATTTTGAGTAACCCATTGAATTCTGCGTGGTTGAAAATATAGGAAACCATATAACTCAATATTCAATATTTTTGACTTACGGCACTTTTCCTTAGTTACGGCAGTATACTATTTTATAATTATTTTTTAAATTATACTAAAACCTTATATTAGCAAACATTCTGTCCATTTATTGTTATTTTGGTTATATTAAGTATATCCTGAAGAAATTATGTGATATTTTTATTCATGAAGCTTCTTCAGTCTTATCTAACATAAATCTGTTTGAAAATTTAAAATAGGAAATTTTTGTGAACGTTAATTTCAAGTGGCACATAAATAATAAGTATTAATAAAACTCGTAACGGATATGCCCTTGATTTATAAAGCACAAAAAGTTATTCTATAAAATCACCTCTCTGCTTTTCCGAAAATGTAGTAAGGTAATAAATCATCTTGCTTTTAAACATAAAAGCTTTTTCGTCAACTGGCATTTTAAAATTTTAAAGCTGTATTACAATATTTTCATTTTTCGTAATTCTTTGGCTGTTATGAGTTGCTAAATTTTAACTAGAATTTAAAAGCATCAAGCATACACATAGATACAAATACTAAAAGCTTAAAAACATTGTTTGAAGCAGTTGACACTACAATACTAAAAAATCGATTATGTTCTTTTATTTACGTGTACGCCAACGCTTTCGATACCGGTATTATTCAGAAAAAAATGTTGAACACTTCATTACATTTATAATTTATAAAGGTTTAGGATTTGTTTGATAGTTGTACAAGATATTAACTAGTTATTTGCTTTATTCTAGTTTTAAGATTAAATATATCATTTTAATTAGATTTGCTTGATGATTTAATCATCAAGCAAATAATCAAATATTAACAAATCAAATATATTATAATCTAAAATAAGTAACGTATTCAAACTTTACTTAATGGAAATTCATTTGCTCTAATAGTAAAACAATCAAACCATTTGTTTTCAAAACTTCCACAAAATGTATGAAATTTAGTTATCACTGCAGCAGTTTCAGCAAAGTGCGTTTTTCAAGTGATCTAGTTTTGGTATGCGTTTACACTTTATAGTCTTCAATTGAATAAGTTAATGAGGCAGAACTGTTGTCCTAAATTGGCATTTAGAATTATATCTAATCACATTAAAGAGTGTTAATACATATCAGAAAGAATAGTAACAGCAAAGATAAGAATAGAGAAGGAACACCTGAACATCATCGGGGTATACGGCACAGAAAATAACAAGCCTCAAACAACAAGGAAAGCATTTTATGACCAATTACAACAGTAGTAGATCAAGTTGTAACGATAATATTTTGCCTACCACATGGTGTATTACTATAGGGGCTGAAAGTTGGGGACAGTAATTATGGGGGTGGAGATAGGGCAAGCAAAATAATCGAAACATATGCGAACGGCACTTAGGGTTTGTTAGGAGAGCTGGGGTCGTGGATAAGTAAATGGCAAGGGGTTGGATTGGGGCAACTACAGAAAAATGAAACAAAGGGTCATGAATCTCTTGGGACAAATAAAAAACAAAACGAAACAGGAAACACCTCTAGTAATTTAAAAAGGACGCCACTTCGAGGTGCCTAATTACAACAATTACAACAGCTAGTTGTAACTAGGGAAATAATTATTAAACATAAAAAATATATCAAGTAAAAATTTTACAATAAACTTAAAAAGAGATTACACCTCAGAAAATGTAGAGTTATAACTGTAATCATGGAAGATTTTAACACCAACATCGGCTAAGGTAATTGTGGACCTACAGTAGAAAAGTACCGTGTTTTAAAGTAGACGACTTAAGAATACGGTTAAGCTGCGTTGCTGGGACAACTTTATTATAAGGTACTTCATTCGATTACAAGAAATCAACTTTAACAGAATATCCGTCAAAAAATTCAAGGTATGTAATTTGTCTTTAAAAAAACAACCACATACCATAATAATAGTAATACTCTTCTGTTAGTGATTGCATAGTAAATTATGAGGAAAACGAAAAAAAAAGGAATATAATAGCACACTACCTTTCCTGGATGTTTAAATCTCTTAGAACGATACTGGATATAGACTCAGGTCATAAAAAATCAACACACACCAACAGAAATTTAAATTAGAAATCAAATCACAATATCAATAGTAAAAAGGGAATAACTAAATCGTTATACGATAGAGCCAAAATCACTTGTTTTAACGAAAACTCGTTTTTAGAGGAAGAAAATTTGTTAACATCTGTTTTATTAAAAAATGATTATTCTTTATCATTTATAAATAATTTATTTTCAACAATTGACCGGATAGAACAGAACAACTTAGAACGAGATCCTACAGCATACGCAAGAAATAATACCAGAAAAATAACAATCCCATACATAAAAGGATTATCAGAAAAACTTAAAAAGATAGGAAATAACTTTAACATTTCAACAACATATAAACAACAAACACATTAAGATCTATTTTATCTAAAACTAAAGCCAACAATTGACAAGCAAGAACAAAGAATTGTATTTGTAAAATACCTTTGTGAATGCGATCAGTTTTATTTAGGTAAAACATCAAGGCCATAATTAGAATAAGTGAACATAATTATATTAAAAATAGATATCATAGATCTCAAATGTAATATGCAAGAAAATAACATAAGCTTTAATAGAATGATTCAAGTATAGTCCTAAAAGATACAGATGGTAAAAAGAGAAAAATCAAAGAAGCGGTTCTAATTATGCTAAATGAGACAAATTGAATCGCAAATTCCTCTGCACAATGCAGTGGAATATGGTTGCGAATATTGCGACGATACATCATTTATGTTTTTTAAATAAAAAACATTTTGAATCAGAATTTGATGTTTATTGAGAGCAAACTAAATGTAAGACCAAATACTTACCTTGTCGGAATAGTATTATGAGTTATTTTCCCGGTTTTTTGCTTTTCTATAAAATTTTTATAGAATCCTTTTATATCATTTACTATAAAATCACTAACAGGAGAATTTTGCTGTTATCATGGCATATTGCTGTCTTTTTAAAAACAAATTACATGCTATATTGTTTTTCTGGCGGATATTCTGATGTGAAAGTTGATTGCATGTAATCGAATGAGCTATCGTACAATAAAGTCGTCCCAGGAACGCAACTCAAGCAATATTGGTAATATCATTTTAATGTAGTCTACTTGTAAAATGTATAATATATGTCTAAATTGTCAATATGAATGAGTCAGATAAAATTAAATTATTAAAATAATTTTTCACCAAGTAACAAAAAACAAAATTTATTTAATTGATTATGTTTGTATTTTGAGAACGATTTTCAAAGTGGAGATTGAAACGTCAATAAACTTATTTTAACCTTCAATTGTGGCTTATTTCCATTAAACTAGTAATTACTTTAAAACGCCTCAAGAAAATAGCTTCAGAACAATATTAAAAATATGAAATTCTATGCAGTTACACTCATGTTAGTAATCAACAGAGCTGTGTATTTGCTTATTAAAATCATACCTGTTTAAAATGACCACTACAATTCCTCCATCGGGACGTTCAAAGGCAACTTGAGTGACCAATTCATTTTCATTACATTGGGATGAGTAAATTCTTCTGGAACCTGGTGGTACAAATTTGGAAAAGTGTCCAATTGCATAATAAAGTGGCTGTTTGTAAAATTCGGTGCCGTTATTTAAAATTGGTGCATCTCTTGGAGCAGCGACATTAGGACCGCCTTGAGTATCTAGGACCATATTCCAATCAACCCATGCTGTTACCCAGTGGTTCATGTTCTGTATAAAAGTAATCAGTAAATATAAGTAGTTAATATAATTTAAATGAAATTTACAACTTAAAATTAAGTACAGCATTAATGCTAGCAGAGCCGCAAAATCTCAATTTAGCATTCAAAATAAATAATGGTATAATGTATAAAAGCTACAACAATACTGAGCCACAGGGTGTTGAGCAAATATGAAAGATCAAAATTAATGATTATCAAAAGAATTTATTTGTGCTTGAACGCATCAAGTATTTACTGGCCGAGTAAAGAGAAAGAAACACTCAACAAACTCAGACCGATACAATCCGAATATAATCTACGACGTACTTATATGGTATAATTTCAAGCAGATGAAAAGGAGTAGACAGCGTGGCAGTGAAGTCGCATGTTAGAGAGTTAGAGAGCTCCATGATATTTTTCGTTACCGAGTTACTGTTTTTTTTTAACCTATTCTCTATCCTTCCATTGTTGGATATAGGTCTCCCCCAGTTCTCTCCATCTTTCCCTATCTTGAGCTGTTCTCTGCCATGTGGGACCTCCTTGTTTCCTGATGTCATCTTTCCACCTCATCTGTGGTCTGCCTCTTGATCTCTTTGCATTGTATGGACGCCACTTTCCGATGGCATTGTTCCATCGTCCGTCTTGGAGACGTTCATTGTGTCCAGCCCATTTCCATTTCAGTTTTGCTGCTTGTTCTATCGCGTCTACTGTCTTTGTTCTGGTTCTGATCCACTGGTTACGTTTTCTATCTCTAAGTGATACACCCAACATTTGTCTCTCCATCGCTCTTTGTGCCTTCCTTATCCTATCCAAATTGGCCTGTGTAAATGTCCATGTCTGTGCTCCGTAGGTGAGCACCGGTATTATGCAGGAGTTATATACCTTGCTTCGTAAGTATAGAGGGATTGTTTGATTTTTTAAAACGTAAGAAAGTTTGCCGAACGCTGCCCATCCCATTCTTACTCGTCTCGATATTTCGGCTGTTTGATTTTCTCTGTTAGCTCTGATTGCTTGTCCTAGATAGATATACTCATTTACCTGTTCTATTTTTTCTGTTTTTATTTTTATTGCCTCTTGGTCTTCCGTGTTTGTCATTACTTTTGTTTTGTTGAAGTTAATTTTTAGGCCTTTTTGCTGTGATTTTTCATGAAGTTTATTCAGCATTAATTCCAGTTCTTGTCATTCCGAGGAGATCAGGAGTATATCATCCGCATATCTAAGGTGATTTAGGTATTTTCCGTTAATACATATTTCTCTGTTTTCCCAATCTGTTGATTTTATTATGTCTTCAAGGGTCAAGGTCAACAGTTTAGGTGAAATTATATCACCTTGTCGGACTCCTCGTTTAACTGTTATATTATCCGTTATTAATTTGTCGTCCAGAATTACGGTCATGGTTGCGTTTTGGTAAATATTATGTATCAATAACCGAGTAACCGAGTTACTGTTACCGACACCGAATTTAGGCATTTTGTTTTGTCAATAACTGTTATTTTATATGTAAAGAATTTTTTGTACTAACCTGAATAATATCGTAAGCATATGTCTCAGCATTGGACCAGTCACCCAAAAAGATTCCAAGGGCACCTAAAATTGGATCAATATCAGAAATGCTTTATAAAATTTAGACTTACAGAAATGATATAATACCTTAAGGTGCAAAGAATTTGTTTCACTAATGTTAAAAGTGTTTTAAGAGTATTAAAATGTATCCTAGGTAGGTACTGGGAGTTATATAATTTATGTCAGTTAAAATTTAGTGTTATTGTGTATCAAAATAGTGTATAAAAAATGTTTGTCATATTTGAGTACCCATTATTTCTTAACAATAAATTAAAATTTAGCTACTACATTTTCTGAAAATTAACCAGAATCCATTTTGTCTGGAATATTCCCGTAACTTTAAAGAGCTTCTAGAATCTTCTTACTGTTCCTAGATTCTGTTGTCTTGTATATTTTAACGTTTAAGTAGTTATCCCTATCACAGTAATACTAAATAAAATAATGATCAGTAAATAAATAAATACACCTGCCATGAAATATCACTGTTTAGGGCTCTGTGTTAGGACGGTCTTCTTTAGACCGTCCTGACATATGTGCCACTTCCTTCTTTTCTTTTTTTTTCAGAATTTTTTCTATTTATTGTCTTCTTTCCTCGCCACTTCCATTATGTTATTTGCCCTAACTTTACCCACTCTTTCGTACAGCTCTTCTCTATCGTTCGCGTACCTTTGGCAATCGAACACACAGTGTTCGCCGTATCATTAATTCTACAATAAACGCAGTTATTGTCTTGTTACTTCTCTTTTCTCACAAGATAAGCTCTACCAGAACCATACTTCATATGGAACTGTATAAAGAGGTAGTTAGCCTTTCCATAGCCATGTCCTAACCAGTCTTTTTAAAAACTAAGTTTTAAATATTAACATATTTAAAACTTTTTTTTGTTACTTATTGTATTTGTTCTATACTTGCGTGTTCTATAGTGTCTATAGTCTGAAACCTAATTGATGATTTGGTGATTATCTGAAAATTTTTCAATATGGGCTCTAATTTTAGAAACAAAAGCTTTTTAAGTAGTTTTCCTGGAATTAACAACAGACTAATTGGTCTATAAAAGGTGATTATATTCAGAGGATTCCTAGGCTTGGGAACGAGTATACCTTTTGCTAGTTTCCACTAAATTGGAAAGTGGCCAGTCCCTATAAATATCATTTTCTTTCTCAGGGTTTAGCTTAAAGGATGTAGTTGAAAACCGCTGACTAAGTGGTTAGCAAACGTTCCAGTCTTGTTCTGGTTGGTTCTGGCCGAGTTACCATTTTTCGTACGGATTTGGGGATTACGAATTGGAGTCTATTAATTTTTTTTTGTAGCCTTTTATAATGAGTATCCTGATAACACGATGGCCGTTATGTTTTTTTCATTGTAAAAAACTCTTTTTAGTTTCATCGTTGCTCTGTTAAGTTTTGTCTTTTTATTCCGTGGTGACTTTGTTCTTTGCCAGATTTTCTTAAGTCTCCTGTTATAAGCGATTTCATCTTTAACGAGTATTGGTAAGTCATGAATATTGTAGTACATATTTTTGTCTGTAAATTGTTTAAATTGTCGCATCATATTTTACTTGGTTTGCCATATGCTTCTTCGTCCATTTGGTGACTTATATCGTGCTATTCGTACTATTCTATCCTCTGCCATTCTACTGATGTGTTCGTTCCACTCATGTTTTCATTATGTCACCCATTCATTTATGTCTTCTCTATCGCATGCTTTTCTTATTTTGTCGCTTCTCTGCCTATCCAACAGACTTTTTCCTGATATTTGTTTCATCGGAGTATTTTCATCTCTGTTGTTTCTAATAGTCGTCTCGTTTTAGATGTGTCAGGTCTTGTCTCCACCGTGTATGTTAATATAGGTCTAATTACTGCTTTATAGATTCTTGTTTTTGTATCTTGTCGTAGGTTTTTGTTCTTCCAGATTGTGTCGTTAAGAGATCCCGTCGCTTTACTTGCTTTTAAGCTTTGTTGTCGTACTTCTTCTTCAACATCTTCATAAATAGTTATCTATTCCCAGATATCTAAACCTTGCTTCCTGGTTTATTATTTTTCCATCAATTACACTGTAGTGGGTATTTAGATGTTGTCATACATTTGGTTGTTTCTGCTGATATCATATTGTATTTCTTGGCTGTTGTATTGAAGATGTGTGTTAATCTTTGAAGCTCGTCTTCTGTCTCGGCGATTAATGCGGCGTCATCTGCATAACATAATATTTGGATTTTTTGTTCCCCATTCTGTAGCCATGACCTTTACGTACAGCTTGTTTTATTTCGTCTAATATTATATTAATGAGAAGTGGGCTTAACGAGTCACCCTGTGTTTCTTTTATACAGTAGGTGTAAGTCGTCTTCGACTTTGATGCGATCGAAAGTCATTGTCAGGTCTGTAAAACATAGATATGCTGGTTTATTACACTCGATTGACTTTCTGTGATTTCTTCTTCTTCTTCTCGTGCCACTCCTAGCGGAGATTGGAAATCATCATGGCCACTGCGACTTTGTTAGCAGCGCGCCTAAAAAGTTCAATCGAACTACACCCGAACCATTCACGTAGATTACGAAGCCACGATATTTTTCTTCTTCCCACACTTCTTTTGCCCTTAATTTTGCCCTGCATGATGTTTCTTAAAAGTTCGTACTTTTCACCTCTCACAATGTGCCCCAAGTATTCCATCTTTCTAGTTTTTATCTCATTTAGAATTTCGCATCATTTGTCTAAAGTTTGGAGTACTTGCGTGTTAGTGACGCGGTCCATCCATGATATTCTGAGAATGCGCCTATAGCACCACATCTCGAAAGCTTCGATGTTTTTTATGGTCAACTGTTTTAGTGTCCAAGCCTCAACTCCATATAACAGGGTAGAAAAGACATAACACCGCAGCATTCGTATTCGTAACTTTATATTGATATCACGATTGCAAAAGAGTTTGCGCATTCTATTAAAGACTGATCTAGCGATTTCTATTCTACATCTAATCTCTTTTGTTTGATCAGTATCGTCTGTGATCCAAGCACCTAGATATTTATAACAGGGCACACGCTCAATCGTTGTATTGTCTATTACAAGATTAGCTCTGATGTTCTTTGATTTCGTGATTACCATAAATTTAGTTTTTTTCAAATTAATTTTCAAGCCGTAACTGTTACAGTATATATTGAGACTTTGAACGAGATATTGTAGTTCTACTAGCGTTCCCGTTAGGAGAACTGTATCGTCAGCATACCTTATATTGTTGATCGTCTCACCATTTATTATCAGACCAAGATCTTCTTCCTCGAGTGCTTGTTCACAGATAGCTTCACTATACAGATTAAATAAAAGTGGCGATAAGATACATCCCTGCCGGACTCCTCGACGGATTTGAATTTCTTCTGTTAGTCTGCCCTCAACCTTGACATTTGCTGTTTGATTCCAATATAGATTGCATATAATTCGAATATCTCGGCTGTCTATATTTTTCTTTATTAGAACTTGTCTTAGTGGTTTATGTTGTACCATTTGTCAAAGGCCTTTTCGAAATCAATAAAGCAGGCGTAAATTTCTTGGTTCATGTCTAAGCATTTCTGTGAGAGAACGTTCGTTGCAAACAGAGCCTTCCTTGTACCCAGCCCTTTTCTGAATCCCATCTGAGTGTTACTGATGTCTACGTCTAATTTCCTATAGATCCTATTATGGATTATTTTTAAGAACAGTTTTAGAGCATGACTCATCAAAGCTATCGTACGATATTCGTTGCATTTCTTTGTATTTGCCTTTTTTGGCAGTAGTATAAAGGTCGAACGGAGCCATTTCTTAGGTATTATTCTTGTTCTATATACATTGTTTAATTGCATATTCTATTTCTTCTCTGATTATATCAGGCCCTGTATATGCCTTACCGGGGCCTTACCACTTTTTGCTTGTTTAATTGTATATTCTATTTCTTCTCTGATTATATCAGGCCCTCTGATTATATCATCTGTATATTCGTTTGAGATTTCTTATCTATCTTTGTCATCAAACAGTTGTCATATGTATTCTGTCCATCGATTCATTTTTTGTTGTAAATCTGTTATAATTATACTATCTGTATCTTTGATATGTCCTGTCTGTGTTGTTCTTCTCCTTCCTGTCATTTCTTTAATCTTTTTGTGTACATTAAAAAAGTCATATTTTCGCTCCAATTGTTCCAACTCCTGACATTGCTCACTTAGCCATCTTTCTTTAGCTTCTCTTATTTTCTTTTTTATCAGTTTATCTGTTTCTTTGTATCTTATCGGATTATTTGTTTTGTGTATCCTTCTTTCACGCATCAACTGTAGTATTTTCTCATTCATCCATTATTTATGTTTCCTTTCTTTCGGTGTTAAATTTTCTCCCCCTGCCAACATTACGGCACGTTTAATATTCTCCAATTTTTGGTCTATGTTATCAGTATTTCTATTCAGTTTCTCTATATTTTGTAAATTTTCTTTGATGTTCACTATTGTTTTCTCTTTTATATGTTGTTCATTCAGTCTTCTCACGTCAATTTGTTTCTGTATGTGTTTTTTAATGATCTTTAGTTTTATTCTTAATGTGACTAATACAGGATTGTGATCCGAGCCTATATCTGCTCCTGGGTAGGTTTTAGCTAAGAGTATAGAGTTGCGGAATCTTTGACTAACAAGGACAAAGTCAATTTGGTTTCTGACTACTCTACCTTTGGTGTCACTCGGAGATTTCCATGTGTACAGTCGTCTGATTTATCTTATATAATACAAATACGACGTCTACGCAGGATATTCCGGACCCGACTCCTTGTTGTTCATCTGAGAAAGTTGGTAGTTTATTGATTTTGTTGATTAGAACTTTTGTAGTAAGCTTAAGTGCGGTGTTCAGCAGAATTATACCTCTATAATTGTTGGGGTCTTCTTTATCTCCTTTCTTGAACATTGTTATCATTCTGCTGTTTCTCCATGCGTCTGGTATATTGCAGTGAAATATTATTTTTGTATAAGTTTTGTCATCTCTAGGGTTATACTTTCTCCTCTGTGTTTTTGAAGCTCGTTG